GTAATGACTAATGATGCTGGGCTTCTCTTCATGTGACTGCTGGCCATTTGTACATTTTGTTTTGTTTTTAAGACAAGGTCACACCATGTAGTCCAGGCTGGTCTTCAATTTGTTCCCATACTGCCCTTGTTCCTGCTGCTGGGATTATAGCTATATACTTCTATGCCCACCTCATTTGTATTTATCTTTTGGGAGAAAAAGATAAATTAAAATCTTTTTTTTTTGGGGGGGGGTGGTGTTAGAAGTCTGCCCTCACTCCAGCTGCATGACTGCACATGCGCAGTTCCAGGAGTTAAGCAAAGGGTCTCGTGTCATCAGTGTGCGCTGGTGGCATGGCTGCACAATCTGTGCATGCGTGGCGTAGCTCTGTAGCTTACATCTGCCCCTTAAGGAGCCGTGACTCAGACCCCACCCCCTCTCTCTGTTCTGCTCCCCCCCCATCTCCCCTCCCTCTGCACGTGCTTTCATCCCCAGGCCTGGTTCTCTTGTCTCCCCCTCCTCCTAATAAAGCTCTAAGACTAATACTGGGTTCTGTTGTGACTGTGTCCTTTCCACGTGGTAACCAGGGGGGAGCCAGGCAGTGGTGGCGCACGCCTTTAATCCCAGCACTCAGCGGGCAGAGGCAGGCAGATCTCTGTGAATTTGATGCCAGTCAGAGCTACCTAGTAAGGACTTTTTTCAACCAACTAATCAATTCAACAGGAAATAAAGTAATTTTAAAAGAGAAAATAAAACTCTAAACCAATATGCCTTATTAAAATCAATGTGAGCAGGGTATAGTGGTATATGCCTCTAATCATGGCATTCAGGAAATGGAGGCAAGCAGATCTTTATGATTCAAGGCCAGCTTGGTCTATATAGCAAGTTCCAGGCCAACCATGGCTACATAGTGAGATCTGGGCCTCAAAACACAAAAATAAATAAATAAAATCAACATGAAAAAAATCTTCCACAAAAAACACCAACTAACCAAATTTAGCAGTACAACAAAAGGATTATATACCAGAAACAGGTGGGGTTTATTCCTGGAATTCAAGGATGGTCCAGCACATAGAAATCAACCAAGAAGTCAGGCAGAGTGGTGCACAGAATCCCGGAGCAGGGGACTGCCATGAGTTCAAGTCAAACAAGATCTCATGGTGAGCAGCAGACTGGTCTGGATAGAAAAGGTAGGTAATGGAGACTGTTCCTCTCTGTCCTTCTGCCTCCTGCCCACCGTGAAGTGACCTTCATCACACACTCTGCCATGATGCTGACCTCACTGGGCAGAGGCCCCAAAGCAATGGAGTCATGGACCAAAAGCAATCTTCAGTCTTTGTAAGTTGTTTTCTGAGTATTTTATCACAGTGGCAAAAAGTGATCAAGAAAGAGGTGAAGACTTGTGCATATCTCAGGTTCAGTGAGTAAGCATGTTTCAAAGGAATAGAAGGTGATAGAAAACACTGGCCTCTTCTGGTCTCTTCATACACATGTGAACACACACACACATACACACAAATGCACACACATAAATAAATAATGCTTCCCCCGCCCCCTGGTTTTTCAAGACAGGGTTTCTCTGTGTAGCTTTGGAGCCTGTCCTGGAACTCTATGTGTAGACCAGGCTGGCCTCAAGCTCAGAGATCCACCTGCCTCTGCCTCCCGAGTGCTGGGATTAAAGGCATGCACCACCACTGCCCAGCTAAATAATGCTTTAAAATTTTTTTTATTTAGGGGCTGGAGAGATGGTTCAGAGGTTAAGAGCACTGGCTGCTTTTCCAGAGGTCCTGAGTTCAATTCCCAGCAATTACATGGTGGCTCACAACCATCTATAATGAAGATCTGATGCCCTCTTCTGGAATGCAGGCATATATGCAGGCAGAACACTGTATACATAATAAATAAATAAATCTTAAAAAAATTATTTAGGGCCTGGAGAGATGGCTCAGCAGTTAAGAGCACTGACTGCTCTTCCAGAGGACCAGGGTTCAATTCCCAGCAACCACACGGAGTTCACAACTTTCTGTTACTCCAGTTCTGGTATCCTCACACACACATACACATAGGCAAAATACCAATCCACATAAATTAAAAAAAAATCTTTAAAAACATTTTTTTTCCAGCCAGGTGGTGGTGGCACAACCCTTTAATCCCAGCACTCGGGAGGCAGAACAAGGCGGAGCTCTGTGAGTTTGAGGCCAGCCTGGTCTACAGAGCAAAATCCAGGACAAGCACCAAAGGTACACAGAGAAACTCTGTCTCGAAAAACCTAAATAAATAAATAAATAAATAAAATAAAAATAGCACAGATGAGTTCTGTAGGTAGAGTTTTTCTGTGTCCCAGCAGCTGCTCCCAAATAACCATTCAGAGACTATTTATTAATAATTAATGCTAGGCCAATAGCTCAGGATTGTTACTAGCTAACTCTTACATTTTAAATTAACCCATATTTCTTTTTTATCCTCTGTCACATGGCAGTACCTTCTTCTTCTTCTTCTTCTTCTTCTTCTTCTTCTTCTTCTTCTTCTTCTTCTTCTTTTTTTTTTTCCGAGACAGGGTTTCTCTGTGTAGCTTTGCGCCTTTCCTGGAACTCACTTGGTAGTCCAGGCTGGCCTCGAACTCACAGAGATCCACCTGGCTCTGCCTCCCGAGTGCTGGGATTAAATGCATGCGCCACCTTCAATGCACCATGTCCATTTTGCTTCCCTCTGTATCTACCTGGCAACTCTGAGACTCCTCTCCCTTCTTTTTCCCAGCATTCTATTAGTCTGGCTCTCCCACCTAGCCTTCTCCTGCCTAGCTATAGGCCAGTCAGCTACTTTATTAAACCAATCCCAGTGACATATACTCACACAGTGTAAAGGAATATTTCACAGAGTTGATAAAGAAAGCATCTCTAGTAACAGAAAGGAGATCACTAGTGTCCTGGGAATGGGCTGAGGTAGATTAAAACTGACTGAGAAAGGACATAAGAAAACTTTTGGGTGAAGGCATGCTTCATTTATTCATTGAGCTAGTAGTTACATTCACGTCATAGAGCTTTCATGTGATATTTCAAGTGCTGTTCAGGCTTCTGGGGAGGAAAAGACATCAACAGTAACAGTTGATTCCTATAGTCATTTTTCCCACTGGGGCTGGAGAGATGGTAATTAAGAGCACATGCTACTCTTTCGGGACCTGAGTTCAGTTCTCAGCACCCACATCTGACAGTTCACATTCTCCTGTAACTCCAGTTCCTATGCATCTGGATCTTACACCTCTGGTCTCTGCAGGCACCTTCACACGCATACACAAAACTTTAAAAAGATAATTTAAAAAAACCATTCAGGAGGCAGAAGCAGGTAGATCTCTGTGAGTCTGAGGCAGCCTGGTCTACAGAGCAGGCTCAAGGCAAGCCAGGGCTGCATAGTGAGACCTTGACTCAAGAGAGAGAGAGAGAGAGAGAGAGAGAGAGAGAGAGAGAGAGAGAGAGAGAGAGCGAGAGAGAGCAGCCAGGCATGGTCCCACTGGTGTAATAGTGGCAGGAAGGCTGTGGGGAGGACCAGTTGCTTTGGGGTTGGATTTGAGGCCCGCGCCACAGGACAGAATTCATACCTGGTGGTGTAAACTAGTCAAAAGCCCCATGGTTCAAGAGGTCACCGGCTCTAAAGGGAATCTACTGCTGTTGTCCAACTGCCTTCTAAGTACTTCTGTTTAAACGCATAAATTAGTGTTGCTCTCAACTTTGGCCAGATCGTCTTTTCTCTGCTGTGGTCAGCAGTTGATGCAGACTTATAACTAGTCAAAGTGCTGACAGTAAGTGACTGCTGAATGCCGAGCCTACACGGACATTCCTGTCAACACCACCCACCCACCGGGGCCAGGAAACATTGCAGAAGAGGAGGAAGAAAGAATGCAGGAACCGGAGGATGGGGATGCATGCTGTGAAATGCTGTTCTGGGGCTGACACAGACCATGAACTCACTGCAGCGATGATTACCTGCCCAAGATCAATACGATCGATTAGCATCCCATCGGGCAGCATTAATTGAACTCAGTGGGTTATTAACACGAAAAGGAGAGGATATAAGGGAGAGGGCGATGTGTTGTACCTGGGAGGCGTGAGATATAGGAGAGGGGGTGCAAATGATCAAGATGCATTACTTGCATGTATGAAATAGTCAAAGAATAAAAAAGGACACTCTAAAAAAAAAAAAAAAAAAGTCAGGCATGATGCACACATGCCTGTGAGACCAGCATCTGGGAGGACTAGGCAGGAAGGTCACTAGTTTGATACCAGCCTTGGCTATATAAGAGTTCGAGGTCAGCCTATCTCAAAAAAAAAAAAAAAGAAAAAGAAAAAAAGAAAAAGAAAATGATTGAGGTGGGAGTCTGGGGCATGACAGAATCTGCACCGTCTCAATGCATATATTAATTACTTAGGAAAATAACAATTTTACTGTGGAGAAAGCAGGCTCCACCTGAACAGAGTAATCAACGTGAACCTAACCAATAAAGGAACAAATTGACATTCTGCGCTAAGAACTCAGGGTCACTTTAAATCTGAATAACTATAAAGAAATGTAAGAGCTCAAGTCCAGAGACAAAACAATGGGCCAGTTGCCTTCATGAACACCAAGACACAGAGAAAGAGGAACCATCCTGATTTCAGGGGATCATCACACAGATAGGGCGGCGGGATGCTACACGCAGTCCGGAGCCAAGTGAACAAGGCTCAGCTGCACGGACCGGGTTCGCAAGCCTTTCCCAGCCTCGGTTCCCTCCTCTCACGCAGCAAGAGGACGGTCGTGTCACGCAGCTCATAAAACAGGCTCCAGAAGAAACTTTCGGTGAACGG